AATCTGTATTGGGCAGCACACCTGGGCTCAGCAATTTCCACGTCATGTACCAGGAGTAAGCTTCTATGCATGTGATGGCTGGGTCTTGCGCTGATGCGTTCCTGACCCAACACGGCAGTTCTCGACGCGGGCTGGAAAACGGGCTGGACAGTGGGCACGGGCACGTTGAGGATACTATGAGGTAAAGCAAGATGAGAGGTACCATGTCGGGCTCCCGCTCAGTGGAGTCCGGACTGAGGCCGGATCCAGCGAAAAAAAAGCACATGCAGTCACTTGACCCCGTCCGTCCCTTTCGCCCACCCAGTCAGATCTGGGAGGGCCATCAGATGGATGTACCGCCCCCTTGGCCCAAGGCCTGTCTTCTGTTGTGTTCGCTTCAGGAAAGTACTCGGAGAGCTCCTGGAAAGCTCTAGATCTAGTACGTAGAGATGGCAGCCCGAGGAACTAGCCTACGCCAGCCTCGGCATGCTCGCTGGTCCATCTCAGACCCAAACGCCGATTAGCGAGCATGCGGTCGGAAGCTCTGGTCTGCTCCCAGGCTTGGATTCATTTAAAACTCACGCCGCCCCATTGATCCGAGCCCATAACTCACCTGATTTGTGTGCCCCCTCGCATCGCGCCCCCCAGAAGACAGCCCAGCCCAGCCCAGCCCAGTGCGGTGCGCTGTTTTACAGTACGAGAATCGACGCCTAGTAGCTTGTGCTCCATAGCAGCCAACGCCTTAGGTACCAACAAGTACACCTACATCCGCCCTATTTGGCACAGTACATGGCATTGCTAACAGCGCCCGCTCACGGAGCAAAGGAATACCTGCAGTATCGGAGACGGTATCCCCTATTTCCAAATCCACGTCTGGGAACTAGGGCCATCCCCGAATTCCCGATTTTTGTACCACCCTACCAGCCAGGCCCATCCATCCATACCGGCAGGCAGTACCTCAGTACCTGAGCAATCATGCCACAGCAGCAGCCCCATATATCTAGGCCAACAGCCACTTCCTCGTTGTCAAGAGTTCAGAACATTGCCAGTCACCTACAACCGCCCAACATGAGTACAACTTTGACTTCCCCGGTCGCGACGACCAACTTCCCTACTGAGGTCGTGCCTCAGGCCCCCGAGGATCCCCTCTTTGGCCTGATGCGAGCCTACAAGGCCGACCAGAGCCCTGATAAGATTGATCTGGTACGGCTGTCCTCCCAGAGCTGTGTGGCGCATCTCTTGCTAACCTTGGTGGTGACAATCAGGGCATTGGTGCTTATCGTGACGACAATGCGAAGCCCTGGGTCTTGCCTGTAGTCAAGAAGGTACAGTTTGATTCTTTTTTTCTTTTTTTCTTATCATTCTTTTCTTTCCCGTTCTCTTGTGTTACTCTGTGATGGGGTTGAAAAAAACCTGTTCAACCCCAAAGCGATGATGTCAAGACGTGGTTGGCCAATGGGCGATCGTGGTGGTGGTCGTGTGAGGTGTTCTCTCAACTTGGAAAACACGACCAATTACATCCTCCATTAAAGACCTGCCAACTTCCTGTTGCATCTCAGCCATGGGCGATTGTGTTCCCCGCCTATGCACGATGGATGTGCGTGCCCGTTCCGTTCCATGGGGTTGGTGCTAACCCCACGTTTCTCCCAGGCCGACGAAATTCTCCGAAACAACCCCGAGCTGGATCACGAATATGCCCCGATCGCCGGCATTCCCTCCTTCACCTCCAAGGCCGCAGAGCTGATGCTCGGCGCTGACTCTCCTGCACTCCTGGAGAAGCGTGCTACCTCGATACAGACCATTTCCGGTACTGGAGCTGTTCATCTGGGTGCTCTCTTCCTCGCCAAGTTCTACAAGGGCAACCGCAAAGTCTATGTGTCCAACCCAACCTGGGTCAACCACCACCAAATCTTCAACAATGTCGGTCTCCCCACCGAATCCTACCCTTACTTTGACAAGAACACCAAGGGTCTTGATTTCGAGGGCATGAAGACTGCCATCCGAAATGCCCCTGAACACTCCATTATCCTGATGCACGCCTGTGCTCACAACCCCACCGGTGTCGACCCTACACTCGAGCAGTGGAAGGAGCTGGCAGAGATCATCCGCGAGAAGAAGCACTTCCCCTTCTTCGACTCTGCCTACCAAGGATTTGCTTCTGGTAACCTTGCCCAGGATGCCTCTGCTGTCCGCTACTTCATCGAGCAGGGCTTTGAGCTGCTCATTGCCCAGAGCTTCGCCAAGAACTTCGGTCTTTATGGTGAGCGTGCCGGCTGCTTCCACGCCATCACCTCCCCCGGCGAGGAGGCCACCACCACCATTACCAGACTGGCTTCTCAATTAGCTATTCTCCAGCGATCAGAGATCTCCAACCCTCCCCTGTATGGTGCCCGCATCGTCAGCACCGTCCTCAACGACCCCGCCCTGTTCGCCGAGTGGGAAGAGAACTTGTCCACCATGTCCGGTCGTATCATCAGCATGCGCAAGGCCCTGCGTGGTAAGCTCGAGGAGCTCGGCACTCCTGGTACTTGGAACCACATCACCGACCAGATCGGCATGTTCAGCTTCACTGGCTTGACTGAGCAGCAGGTCCAGAGATTACGTGAGGAGGCACACATCTACATGACCAAGAACGGCCGCATCAGCATGGCTGGCCTCAACATCCACAACGTTGACCGTTTCGCCAACGCCGTTCACAACGTCGTATCAAGTTCATAGGGACGCAGACGTCCTACTTGGGAAACCGCAAATGCGTCGTCAACTGACTTGTGTTCCTAAAAAAGAATCGAGTGGTGGATCATGTTGCTTCTTTATGATGGGATTTGGGACAATTGGCCGGCACTGTGGTCTTGGCGTTTCTCTTTACTGTTTTGGCGATTTCTTTTTAGACATATCTCTCCTTTTCTGGATATTTGGGAGGCTGATTGTGAGTCTGAGACGAGATTTAGTCTCAGTACTGGCATCAAAAATCAACTTTCTATGGCGGCTAAGGCCTGCGTCTCACGATCGGTCGATGATGGGGAAATGCGAGTAATGACTTCATCTAACACACAGGACACTCCACCCGTAGTCTGGGGTTGTTTATTCGCAGCGCGGAACCGGAACCAAAACCATAGCAGTTGGTTCCGGATCTACGCACCAGACAATTATATACCTACCTACCTACTCACAAATAATGATGATATACGGGAGCTCTTCTCTCCTTTCTCTCCTGCTCTCCTTAGAATAGCACCTCTGGCATATCATGCCAAACAATTAGACAATCAGCTGCTTTTCCCGTCCCTTGCCCCTGTCCTTATCGAAGCTTAAGCCTAGCTGGCAAGGGCTCTCCAGCCATCCACAGGCCATGTGACCCTGGCGACAAAACGCCATGAGCTCCGGCGGGCTGCCTAGCCGGTAAATTCGCCGACAGCTCCGGCCTAACGCCAGAAACATGATCGCACGACACACGCGTGGGTCCGGTTTACGGGGTTGCCCATCCGCTCCGCCGTCCACTTCCCCGGATTCTCCCCTCACGATACTCACAGTACGATATACTGAGGGGCGGGACTGTGTGTCATTCCTTCGCCGCTGCATCCGTTGTCGGGCCCCATCTCGTTCTCGTCCCTAATCCGCAGTTTCGGCGGATGTGACTTGCCAGGCTTGGGGCGCGATGAAACCATTATTTGATAATACTTGGCTCAAAGCGTCAGAGCCAACATACGGCGACACGCTGTTAGGCTGTTTGCCGCACATAGCAGCGGCGGGAAGGCCGCGTTTATTTCTGGAGCTAGATGATGGGGGAAATCTCGAAGTACAGTACCTCGAGGTACATTGCTTGGACTTATCTGGTTTTTTTTTCTAATTGGGGCGGCTGCATTCTGGCGATTTGAATGCCCCCCGTGTAAGCTGAGAACCTTTGTTGACTGGACCTTGCTGCGAGGTATACCGCTTCCTCCCTCTATCTCTCTTTTTTTATGGATAGTATGCGAGTTCTTTCGTTTTTGACTGACTCTGTCTGAAACCTTCCTGCGGAGTGACAAGTCCGAACATGTCGGTGTACAGATAGCGAGAGGGCGTATCTGCCTGCCCACGGGACTCGCCACACACTGGCTCTATCCCCTACCGGAGAAGGTCGCAGAGATAAGGAACCAGTTTGCGGGGAGTTGCGCTGGAACTATCAGCTTTCAGCTACTCGTGTTATCAGCCAAGAAACCAGCGTAGATGTCTCGGCAATGTCCAGCCTTGCAAGGTCGGCTTCTGATTCTCTATGTAGCCCAGATGGGAAAAAATCGGTGAGGAGAGAACTATTCACTCTATGACCCGTTAATGAGACAGCCCACTTTCTGTTCCCCGTAAGTACAGTTTTATAAAGACGGTTAAAATAAGGTCTTCTGTGGAACAATGGCGTGCTACTTGATAGAGGCACAAGGGGAGGTGGCTGTTCAACGCGCTACGGGGTAACGGTGAGATGGGTTGTGCTAGCTGCCTGTGACTACCTACTACCAACTACCTCAGCGAAGTAAAAGCCAGTTGAGGGTACTCATTATGATAAAGAATCGGAGAAAAATTAGCTTGCTGATGTTATCTCCATGTTTCTTGTTGCTTTGATAATTTGTGACGGCATGTGATTACAGTCACAGCCGTACCTTGCATCCTGAAGCTCATGATTGGCGCGCATCCAATGAGACATACTAGATAAGCGCAGTCCAAAGTATACTTCACCTGAAGCGCCTACCTTCATTTACACACTTGAAGCAAATATATTTCGTATATCCGCGTTTCATCCAGTATTCTAGATCTAGGTAGGTAGGTAGCTTGGTTAGATAATGATTAGAGGGAGTTCGTAGCACCAGCGTACATAGCACCTTCCTGCTCTACAGGCCTCTTGTACCACCTGGCAGCTATAGTACCTAGGCGCTATATCCAGCGGCTGCCTGGTGGCACCGTGCAAACCAGCCTCAACCCGTACACTCATCCAACTACCTACATGGAAGTCGATTCACCAAATTCCATGCCACCACATCCTGAAATCCCAAGCAATGGGGCGACGTCTGCCTTGGAAGAGGACCGAGGTCCCAAGCGTCGTGAAATCCGCAACTCCCAAAAGTAGCCCAAAGCCCACTTCTCCCATCAAACGGGCGCCGCCTCCAAGCACGCGACCAGAACGCGCTCAAGAACGTGCCTCGGTTCAGCTCTCGGAACCTGGTAAGCAGCCTCACGTTTCGTGCCGACTGAGCCATTCTCATATTCCTGTCCAGGTAATCGCATTCGTAGCCCGTCTACTTCTCCACCACCTGAGCCGCCTCAAGAGGAGTAAGAGCATCGCCTTCCACTCGTTGGAACGTCCCGCTAACCACACCCCCAGGTTCATGATTGCTGGCCCGTTCAACGATGACAGGTATCGGATGGTGGACGACGAGCTCCTTGGGGTTGCTCAGAGGTTCACGGTCCACCTCCACCGTCAAGAGTATCAGCGCCTGAAGGCACAGGCCAAGACCCAGAACGCCGCGACCATTCGCGAGATTGAGCGCCCGACTGTCGGCACCCCGACGAGGGTTACCAAGCAGCGGAGTGAGGCTCTGAAGCGAGCTTCTCGTCAGCGCAGCCTGCTTGGCAACGACCATGGTCGTGATCTGCCCTGGATGGGCACCAGCCTGCAAGGCCTGATGGAAGCGCCCCGGAGGGATGCAAGGGTCATCCGCTCGCTTCCTCAGGCGGCGTCGGGCACGCGAGCTGCGGCGGGCTTTAGTTCACAGCTCTCCAGCAGTCCCATTCGCGAGAACCGGCCCGCTGGAGACTCGCCGCCTCAGAGACGGGAGGCGTCGGCTTTTAGAGACTCTAGAGGAGTTGGCGTTAGGGTAACGCCGCAGGCAACTAAGAGTGTTAAGTCGAAGCAGGTAGCCAGCAGTAACAAATCTTCATCGCCAACGGTGGGTTCGTCTGCCACAGTTGGTACACCTTCAAGGCGGCCACTTTCGACGGTCAGGCCGTCATTCTCTACGCCACAAGCAACGAAGGACATACGTCAGGATGAGGATGATGAAGATGACGAAGATGACGACGATGACATTTTCGGTCTCAACAAACGAAGAATTCGAAGAGAGAAATCAAGGGAGAATATTCGAAGATCTACAGAAAAGCCAGTGCGCAAGCCATCACCAGATGCAATACCCTCATTCTTATGAAGGGTTTCAGAGAGATATTACGAGTTCATGCCTAAAGATGGTTTTATTCATAATTCGTCAGGTTGAAGATCAAAGCGTATGTTTTTCATTTTCTAAGCGTCGTCCATATTTAGCTCATCAAAGTCATCTAGCAGCTCGTCCATATTGACTTGTGGCGCGTCATCATCCTCAGCCTCTGTGTCTGCCATGCTCATCTCCTCCTCCTGCTTTTGCTGCTTGTACAGCGCCAGGGCGGCCCGGAGCTCATCGTCCTCCTCTACATCACGCAAAAACAGCTCATATTCACGGTCCATGCGATCCTGGTCAGCCTGCTTGGGAAGCAACTCGCCTTCATCCTTGTTCATGCGCTTGAGCCTCCAGTTGCGGCGGCGGTTCTTGCGGCGACGGGGGAAGTATTTCTTGACGAGGACGACATCTGGGATGGTTGACCCATATGTGTTGGATTGCTCAATGGCCTCGTATTCAGGGTTGTTAAACACGCTGCCACTAAGAAGGTAGCCCATGGCCGAATCCCCAGGTTGTAAGAGGTGGCCAAGGTGTGTCCTTGTGAAATAGGTTCTATCGTTGACGCCTAGATCAGAGGCACGAGCCACTGTAGCCTCGGCTAGTCTCAGCTTACCCTTTTGGGTGCCTGTGGGCTCGATATCCATGACAATAAACTCAACGAGCTCCTGAGAGTCTACGAGGGATGTAAATGGGGCCCGCCAGTAAATCGATGAGGCGATTTCTGTAGTCTGCAAAGTCTGCGGGTCCATGAGATAAACGGCAGTGCCGATCTTGTAGCACAGGAGGAGAGGCGAGATATTTCCGGCTTGCTTTGCAAGCTTGATCGGGAGTGCCACCAAATCGTCCTTGCATACTGGGACAAGTTCCGCCGAGTAGGAGAACTTGTATGACTTCTTTGAGGTATGGATGTCCATTGAAATGAGTTCTTGGGATGACTTTACTTTAACTGGGACAACTGAGTTGAGGAAGTCGATAAACTTTTCACCCTGATTTCTGGCGCTAAAGTAGAAATCGATGCCGTCCTTGGCCTCTTTGATATTCAGCGTATCCCGGTGGGCGTTGTGTTTGAGAATGAGCTGTTCGAGGAAAAGGAAGGTTCGCTTGTGAAGGACCTTTTGTCGGACCTGGACGCAAGCTTGCCAGTGGGCGGGTGTGAAGGACTTTTGACAGTCTCGGCACTGCTGGGTATGTACCACAAACACCACCTCGAAGGTCTGTTGAAGGAGCATGCCATCCTGAACCTCATCCTGGATGGTGAGCTTCATCTTGATACGTCTCGAGTGTGGTTCTGTCCAAATGAAGCTGGCATCGACGATTCGCACTTTGTTCAAGCCCCTCAGTCTCTTCAAACACAGCGCAAGCAGTTCTCGGGACTCGGGGAGGGCAGTGACCCAGCTGGCGGGCGGTAATAGCCATCTGTCGCAGTCCTTGCAGAAATGTAGTGTCGCCTCACGCTGGACGCCCTGGGAAATGTCGACGGTCAGCTTGACGCAGTCGTAGCAAAGTGCCCCGGTTGCTGTGGTTCCATCGATGGCGGCACCACAGTTACAGCAGAGGATGCTTTAAGGCAAGTGTTAGCCACACAGAAACTCGTAGTTGTTGGTTGCAAGTATACTCACGTCGCCCCAGAGTGCTGCTGCTGCTGTGCACTGATGGACACGGGCGCATCATCAATATCCATAGACATGATGCCGATTTCTTTCAGATTTCACTGGTGAACTGGGTGATGGAATATGATGTTCATTTGGTGGGGGGGAGAATGACTATCAAAGCAAAATATTCTGCCCCGCCTGCTTGATAAGCGTTCAAAATTCTTATCGCCCCATTAAAAAAACACTCTTGCTAACGCCGCTCCACCAAAAATTACCATTGCCGATACATCAAGAAACAATGCATTTACCGGGGGAATATGTAGATGACTGCTGGGCATGCGCATCCTCGCCCTAAAAGATTTTGCTCAGAACCCTTGTGACATGCTCCGGTTGGCTCTCGCTCTCCTTGCCCTTGTTGGCGAGGGGTATCTGCTTGAACGTCCTCCCCCTGGCCTGGGCCTCCTCCTCGGCGATGGCAGCCTGCGCCGGCTTCGTCTTCTTCGCCTTGGTCTGCATGCCGTCCAGCATCTTGGCCTTCTCCACGTTCCTGACGAACTCCTTGTTCTCCTTGGTCGTCTTGCTGATCTCGGCCCTCATGCGGCTGGCCCTCTCCGCGTTCTCGGCGGAGATCTGCTCCGTCAGGTTGTGCCACTTGAACCCGGTCAGGTACTTGAGGTTCCACAGGTCGTCGTGGTAGTACGACGACTTCTTCCCGCCGATGGTCTGCGCGTTGAGGAGGTCGCACACGGCCTTTGCGTCCTTCTTCTTCACGAACTCGATCCAGCCCTCGGTGTAGGTGCGCTTCTTGTTGCCGCCGGCGCGGACGCGGCGGGCGTGCGCCGTGGGATCCTCGGGGGCGAGGAAGATGCGGTTGATCTTCCCGTACGGCTCGAGGAGGGATCGTAGCTTTGCGGGTTTCATGAATGGGGGGATTCTCGACATGTAGATCACCCCGGACTTCTTGACCGCCGCCTCTGTGGACACAAGGTTTTTCTTGGTGAGTGTTCGATGGATGTCGGGCACTTCTGATTCGAGTTCCGAGGCTTTCCTCTTCTTCGTCTTTTGATCTGAGGGCAGCTTTGTAGTCTCGTCGTCTTCATCATCGTCCTTTGTTGTAGGTTGATCGTCAATTGCAACGCCGCCGTCGAGGTCGCTGGCCTCATCGTCATCTGAGTGGTCGATTCTCCGGCGCTTGGTGCTGCGGCCTCCTTTTCGTAGGTCATCTTCGGAGTTGTAGCCTTGGGATTGGTCGTCTTCGCTATCCGAGGCGTCAAGGAACTCGTTGCGTTTGTCTTTCCCCATGGCGGCGTGTGTGTAGGGCGCTTGTGGTATCCTGAATGATTGATGCAGGGTCCCTTCACCGGGCAGTAAAAAGTTGGTAGATCCAACGTAGTATGCGAAAAATTGATATAGCGGGGCTTCCAGAAAGCCATATATGCAACTAAGCGCTACACTGAGGGGTCGTTTTGGGATCCACAGTGGCGGTTGGGCTTGAGTTGATGCAGGATGAGATCTATGATATAATGGCGGGATAGTTTTCTATTATCACCTTCATGTACTGTTTGAAAGTTCGGGGTGCGTGACTAATTCTTTCTCAGTAACGCCGTTGTTGTGGTTCTCGAAGATAATCGCGAGCAACGAAACTACTCCCATTGATCTCGCTGTTGGGACTGAGTTACACAAACACCAGCTTATCAGGCAGGACCCATCATTTGAATGGTGACGTGGGGAGCAAGCGCGGGGCATCTCTCTATCATCGTACAAACACAATTCCTTCACTCGAGATATCCTTCTCTTCATTCCGCCTTTCTTAGAATTTTCGGTCCTTAAGAGTACAATATCCGATATTGTTCACCATGTCGGTCGAAGTGATTACAACAATCTCTCCTACTACAGGCGAGCCTATCCTCACCCGGAATGGCGCCTCACCTGCAGACCTGGAATTGCTCCCCAAAATTGCCAGTGAAGCATTCCAGAGCTTCCGGCAGACATCTCTCAAGGAGCGCCAGGAGATTGTCAAGAAATTCTTCAAGCTTCTCCTCGACCATGAAGCAGAGCTCGCCGAGGAGCTGACGGTACAGATGGGCCGCCCTATCGCGTACACCGGCAAAGAAGTGACCACTGCCGTCAAGCGCGGCGAGTACCTGCTCAAAATAAGTGACGAGGTGCTCAAGGATACAGACGGAGAGGCGGAGAAGGGCTTCAAGCGGTTTATTCGCAAGTGCCCAGTTGGTCCCGTCCTCATCATCTCCACCTGGAATGTAAGTCGCACCAGAGTCTTGGAACGAAAGAAGGATCTCGGCTAATGCACCCGCCCCCCGAAAAAAGTACCCTTATCTGGTTCTTGTAAATTCTCTGATCCCAGCCATCCTGGCCGGCAACAGTGTGATCATCAAGCCATCACCCCAGACACCAACCATTGTGGAGCAGGTAGCCAAGTTCTTTACCGAGGCGGGCCTCCCATCTGGTGTCTTGCAGTATTTCCACAGCGGGTCTCCTATCACGATGGAGACTATCATCCGCGACCCGAGAGTGGCTTTGGTGTGCTTTACGGGCTCGGTTGCGGGTGGTCTGGCTGTACAGAAGGCTGCGTCCGATCGGGTGGTGCAAGTCGGCCTCGAGCTGGGCGGCAAGGACCCAGCTTATGTCAGAGCGGATGTTGATATTCCATGGGCCGCCGAGGAGATCGTGGATGGCGCCGTTTTCAACTCAGGCCAGAGCTGCTGCTCCCTGGAAAGAATCTACGTAGACGAGAAGATCCACGACCAATTTGTCGAGGCGGTCCAAAAGGTACTCTCGGGATATAAGCTTGGCGATCCTTTCGATAAGAAGACCCATGTTGGGCCGGTTATTTCGAAGAGATCGAAGGAGACGATCGAGGCGCACATCAAGGATGCCTTAGACAAAGGTGCAAAAGACGCCACACCGGAAAATGAGAGCTTCAGCAACCTGCCCCAAAAGGGCAACTTTGTGAAACCCACTCTACTTGTCAATGCTAACCACTCTATGAGGGTCATGACGGAAGAGACATTCGGGCCTGTGATTCCCGTGGTAAAGGTAAAGAGCGACGAGGAGGCAGTTGCGCAAATGAACGACAGCGAGTTTGGTCTAACCGCCAGCATCTGGACCAAGGACACGGACAAGGGATATCAGTTGGCGGAGGATGTGGAGGCTGGTACTGTATTTGTCAACCGATGTGACTTCCCAAGTCCGGTAAGTTCTTGGACAAAAACCGCCGAAATCTCAAAATTACTTCGGCGACACTGATGTGTTGGCTGAGTGACTGACCTGAACCTTAGGATCTTGCATGGGTTGGATGGAAAAACTCGGGCAAGGGACAGACATTGGGCAAATTTGGCTTCGAACAATTTGTCAAGTCAAAGAGCTTCCATATTAAGGATCATCCGAAATAGGACACAAAGTCCAGATGAGAGTCGATCTTCTGTAACTGGCCGGGCTCGGATGAGCTAGGTAGGGGTTCACTCTCCAATTCTGCACGGCTGCAAGGTTGGCAGATTGGCGAGAGATCGTCCTGCTGTCGTACAGATGAGATATGAGTCCAGTCAATGTGACACCCTCCCTGGTGCCTGGTGGAACTTGTCTGCAATATTCATCTGCGCCTGCCTGTCAGCCTGGAAACGAACAAATTGATGCATTGGTCTGCTCTGGGGCCCATCGCCTAGCTACAGGACAATGAAGATCTAATCATTCTACATCACCATTGCCAATACTGAGTTGCCCCCATTTCGATCCGCTTCCGACCGTGGCAGTGAATCTAACCCCCTTGACTACCCACGGACTGGATCCCTTGTCCATCTAGGCTCTCGCTCTCTGCGTTGCACCGTGTGTCATGTCTCACTTGAATAAGACATGCTCGTCTCCACGCAAGGGCGCCCGCCCTCAACGCCATGTTAATAAATGAACGCAAGCGATCTCGTCCATTGTGTGCGGCTAGTGATTTCTATATTAGTACTGTTCCCTACCGCAGGCGGTCACCCAGGAATGCCGGCAGAAGACATCCAATTCCACACCCACTCTCCCGAGCCTGTGCATTCCTGCAACCAAGCCTCCAGCCTGTCGTGCCACCCTGCCACTGCCCTTCTTTGGCTCCTTTTCCCTTCCAGGCTCATACATGTGCACATTGCATACCGGATCCAGGGTTCTGGGTATTAGGTTGTCTGGAGGGCAGGCTGGCTAACGAACAGACAGGCAATATCAGGCCGGATTCGCTCGCCAATGGCTGGCTCCCGATAGTATATGACCTTCGCGTCTCCCACACTCATTGTTGATGTTGTTTGTGTCTGTTTGTGTCGAGTGGTGGGCTTCCAACAACAGATCTTGATTTTCGCGGTATCGACTCGTTTCGCTCTTTAGTTTCAAACGCTCTCTTGCAACACTGCTCCATCTCGACTCAAGTCGAGGTTCCACTCCTTTCTTTGTCTCTTTCGCTCACGGAGTCCTACTCCCATTGTCTCTCGCCCCGGGGAATGCTTCAGGGTCCAGCCCACATTCTTTATATCTCAACCGTCACACTCACTCTAGACCATTTTCTTTCATATTTCTGTCCACTCCAATCTTGAGAAAAAGAAAAGGGGGTATATACAATCTTCTCGTGTCCAAATTTAGTATTCGAGCGAAAATTCCTTCTCTTTATTTCTTGTCCTCCCTTTCGCCTACACGGACGAACAAGCACACCAACCCACGAGCCACATCTTGGCCCTTTCACGACATCATCAGTTTTATTTAACCACCTCACAATAGCGGCATCTTTTTTTCCTTTTCCCTTCACCGGACCTTTCCAGGAACCATGCAGATCAAGAACGACGTCAGAATGTTCTGCTGCCGCGTCCAGACTATCCTTGGCAGATGCCAGCGAAAGCAGAAGAATATCCCGGAGATAGTACGTCACGGACACCTTCCCCTCTCTTTGTCTTTACTAACATTTCTCTTCTTAGTCTGCTCCTTTCAATTTGAAGAGAGAGCCGGTTTGCCTGCCAGGCATCTCCGAAGACGAGTACGTTTTTCCCCCAATTGCCTCCAATCCCGGCCCCGAAATATATCGACCCCTCTCAGGACTAACTCTATTGTGATATTTAGACTCTCCATCCTTCGCGATAAAGCAGCAGCCAGCCGCATTGGTATTGCCGAGTCGATCCCTCTCGCTCATTCCGCATTGTTTTCGCACCCGCCTTCGCCGATCATGACCGTCCTGTCACCAAGCGGAGCTTCAACCTCGTCTCTCACCACCAACTAAGACAAATGGCTGTTGCTGGAGTGCCCGGCCGAAATCTCTCCTGGCCTGGCGATTTGTCTCGATTTTTCATTCAATCCTTCTGTTTCAGTTCATCACTTTCTTTCAACCATTTTGCGACCAAGAGCATGGCGACTTAGAATTTTTTTCGTACCAAAGAACAAGAGGCATAAGAGCCTATAAAAACCACTTAATGTTTGGAGATAATACCCTTTTAGTTTAGCTTTGATGCCACAGGCATAAGGAAGTTCCCCCTGAATAAATCATGGTGTGCTTTGCATTGTGTGTTTTTGATATCTACTTTTCATATTCCAGCAAGATAAATTCGTAATAGATCCTGTCTTTTTTGGTCAAACCTCACCATATACCCATTTAGATCCATCCCTCATATATTTCCAAGTTCTCGCGGCGGGCACCCTCCATCTCGCCCTTCACCTTGAGCAGCTTCACCTTTGCATCCTTCTCCTGACTCCACTTGACCAGGAACTCTTCAACCCGCTGCTTGGTTTCCGCGTCGTCCTTCATCAAAATAGCCAGGGCGTCAAAGCCGCCTGCCCCCGGAACCACCCCGCCGTACACGCCTTCCACCGCACTGAGGGCATCGAGCAGCTCCGTCTGGCTCTGGGGCTCGATGGGCATGTCGCTCAGCTGGCCCATCTCCCTGACGAGCTCGCGGACCCCGCGCAGCCTCTCGGGCAGCTCCTCCGTCTTCCCGGACCTCAGCGCCTCGCCGAGCCCCACGTTCCGGGACTGGAGGTCGTCCCACAGCTTCTTCGACGACTCCTCGTCCGACGCCCTCCACGACAGCACCTTCTTCACCATGCCGACCGTCTGGCTCCCGCAGTCCACGTCGCACATGCGCAGCGCCACGCCCGCCGGCATCCCCAGCGCGTCCTTGCCAAACTCGACGTCCCACGCGGCGCCGTCCACCACTTCCACGAGCTTGGAGCTGAAGCCAGGCGCGCCCGGCTCGGGGACGGCGCTCAGCACCTGTGGCGAGAACCGCCTGTACAGGCACGACCCGAACACGGCGGCCGCGACGTCGAACCCGGAGCCGACTTTACCCTGCGCCGCGCAGTGCGCCGCCTGGGCGAGGTTGTGCAGCGTCCGCTTGCCACTGTCCGAGGCGAGGTCGAACAGCTCCCCCCGGGGCAGATAGTGCGCCAGGAGGGACGCCGTCAGGGAGGTGACGAGCGCGGCGGAGGATCCCAGGCCGGTCTTGTGGGCCTCGCCCAGCGCCACGGGGAACTTGGCGAAGCGGCCCTGGGGCTCGCCCCGGTTGGAGTAGTAGTCGTCGTCGGCGAGGATGATGAGGCGGGCGGGCCGGATGGTGGTTGGGGAGTTGAGCCCCGCCGTCTTGCTGTTGATGTAGGTGAGGGCGTAGCTGAGGGTGGTCTCGACGAAAGGGTTGGCGTTTAGTTTGGTGCCCCTGGAGATGAGTTAGAAATCAACACAAACTTCTCTTTTCACATATATTTTGAGCCCAGTGGTACAGGGTTGCTCATTGTGCATCCCTCATCCTTGTTTGAGCATTTTGAGGGTCTGTTTGATAGTTTCCATCCCTCAGTTGAGAGTATACGCTCATGTCCACTTACACTTGGAGTTGCGTGACCTTGATCCCCCCATCCTCGGGCGCAAGGTGGTAGCCGTACCGCCACTGGGCATCCTGAAACTGTGGGCTGTCGACGACGATCTCGTTCAGCTGGACGCCAGGCCCGGTATGGATCTCCCCCGATATGACGTTGATTCGCGCGCTCAGGCCGAAAACGAGGCCGGTGTACTGCCTGTCCAGCACGAGGTAGCCTCCAGCCAGGAGGACCTTGCCGGGGGCCGAGATGGCGACGGTAGGGTTCTGGGTGGGCATCTTTACTCAATCTCTATCTGCAGTATTTGTGCTCTCCTTCTCAGGTTTGGCGTCTGTTGGGACTTTCTCGATGAGCTGTGAAGAGGTGGTCAACTGGTTGAGTTCCAACGGTGAAAATGCGCATAAACTTCTTATGCAGAGGTGGAGAGCTAGAGGGTGAGATCGGGATGGTTCAAGCGGACGATAATGAGGGTTTGCCGGGTGTCCCTCGAATGATTAACAATTAAATGAACCTTTGGGCCAGTCTCGGTTTGCCAGAAGGACAATACTGGAGTATGCCCGAGCACGTAGGCTGTGACGGTGAATACATCGAAGTAACTGATCATCCTGACGAGCTTCATGGCGGGGTTATGAGATGACAGTGCGGCATGACTCAATTCGCACACGCACTGTGCGCCGAGGCCAATGATCGAATCTCATGCCAATGTGTTGATAAGTCTATCATCACAGCTATTTCACTACACTCATTCATACACAGTCGATCGAAATTCCACAGATACATTCAATGTTCTTTTGCATTATGCCGAGTGGAGATCTGTCTATAGGTGTTTCCCAAACACACACAAGACGTGCGCCCAAAGTCGCTATATGTACCCTTCTTTCGTAGCGAACCGTTTTCTTGGTCCCAAAACGCCATGCCAAATAATTGTATCCGGTATCAACATGCCACTATGCATCCAAAAGAAATCAAACAAATCAACTCGGCTAATCTACAGCCTGTTGCCCGCCATTTGGAACCCCATAGACAAAAGAAATAAAGAAAAAACAGGTGCTGGGGTATCAAACATGACTAGTAGATTACAAAAATATATCTTAGTTTTCTTTTTCGTTGACAGGCTCCAGCTGTCATGTCATTCGTACTTCATCTCACGCGGGAAGAGTCTCCTGGCCTCCGCCAAGAAGTTCCAGCAGCTTGTTAACGACGGCACTAGGATAGCCACGAGTAAGCATCTCACCGACGACTGACTTAGCTTGATCCCGCTGCTCAACAGCAAGGAAAGCTCGAGTCATTGCTTCGTAGGTGCTGGGTTCTCGCTTCTCACGACCGACAGAGTCGTAGATAGTTTGAGCCTTGTCAATGCACTTCTCAGCAGCCCAACCATGGATCAGTGTGTTGGCGATGTAGGGTGTCATCTCCACACGCTGGCTGCGCATCTGCGCTAGCACAGACTCGGTGTCGGCGACGCGGTGGTTAGCAACCATAGCCTCGAAGAGAGCTTGGTACAGGCTTGCGTTGAGAGGCACGACAGGGTTCTTGATCAAGGAGTCGAACACCCGGCGAGCGCCTTCCATGTCGTGAAGAACGCAGCCCCTGGCGTGGATGAGAGAAGCGTAGTGGACAGGCTCAGGTCGCTGACCAGAGGTGCGGATTTCCTCCAGGATACGTTCTGCAGCATCCATGTCGACCGGTTCCAGAGTAGCGTGAGCGTCGACGAGAAGCTTATAAGTGTGCGCAGTGGGTGCAATGCCCTTTGCCTTCATACGCTCATAGTAGGCGAACACCTTACTCTTATCGCGCTTGGTGGTCAGGAAAAACTGCATCATGCTATTGTATGGGGCGGGGCGAGCCTTATAGTTGGGCATCGACTCCATCTCATCAAACAACTCCTCAGCGAGCTTCTCATCACTAACACGGCAAAGAGCATTGACCACAGTGCCATAGGTGACAGATGTGGGCTTGACACCCAGCGACCTCATCTCCGTAAAGTAGTAAAGACAGTCGTCAATTCGGCGGGCCTTACCCAGCTTTCCGATCAGAGCATTGTAGAGGAATGAGCTTGGTTCAACTCCCTCGGCCTTGGCACGGTGGAAGATACGAACAGCTTCAGATGCCTCGTCAAAAGTCTTGGTCGAGTCCTTGAGTGTGGTAATGTACAGACCGAAGGTGTTGGCAGATGGGGCGGCACCCATATCCAGTAGCTCTTGATGATATTGCTCAGCTCGACCTCGGTTACCAAGGTTTAAGCAAGCTCCAACCATAGCATCGAGGATAGACGACCAGCCATAGCGAACAACAGCATACTGAGACATTAAAGGCACATCAGTTCGGGCCATGGATAGGATATCCTGGCACATCTCCATCTTGCCCTCGCGGGCAGCTGCGGAAATGAGCTTGGCATAAGTGATGTATCGAGGGTGTCTTCCGGCTCGGCGTATATTCTTGAAGCGGTTGAGAGCATCTCCAAGACGTGGACCTTTGCGACCATGGCTTCCCTCAAGATCGTCAGCGATGAGCGACGAGCCCTTGAAGTCGGTATTGTAGGCATAAGGGTCGAACGTATCCTCATAACTGGCTGGAGTCGAGGTGGTTTCAAAGGGAGAACCTGTGGAAGTCTGCGCCATCGTAGAGCGGGGATCGACAATACCCCTGGCCTTCATGTAGCGTGCGATGAAATCGATGGCTTCGTCAATTTCTTCGGCAACCTCAGGTCGCGATTCAACCTCGGCAGAGCGGATACGCTGGAACATCATCTCAGATTGGGTCAGTCCCTCAGCGACCTGACCCGAACCAATCAGAGCGACAGCATACATGGCAGTGGGTTCAATGTACGCATCCGTTGTGTGCATGTCAGCTTGGCAAAGAACCTGCCAATACTTGCTGGCCTCCGCAACATCTCCAGCGCGGACGCTCATGGCAAGAAGAGCGATCGCGGGTTTGGCAATGCCATGGAAGTTTGAAGGGATACTATCAAAAGCATCAACGGCTGTCGCCTTGTCATCGTTGTCAGCAGAGACAGTAGCGATTTTGGTCATGGACTCGGGGCGAACTGAGGAGTCAACAGACTGGGCCCAATGGAAAGCCTCAGCATAGATTCCCCTGCTGATAAACCCCTTGACAAAGCCAGCGCTGATCAGAGCATCCTTGATGTCAATGGCACGCACACCATACTCATCAACGATGCGCTTGAAAAACTTCATGGCACCTTCGATCTTATCCGACATCACGTAGGCATTAATGACAGCGGCATACACATGGGCATCCAATCGATCCCGAAGGGTATCCTTTCCGCTGTCATGTGCAATTGCCAGGTTCCGGTACTCATTGTAGCACTCGACAGCGCTGATGAGATCACCGGAAGAGGCGAATGCAGTGATCATTGTGGGGAAGGTTGCCGCAAAAGAAATGGTTTCGCTGGCTTCCATGTGCTCGAAAAGACGAAGCATATCCGAAACCCTACCAGCCTGAGCACAAGCTGAGATCAGTTGGTGATAAGTTTCGGCGGTGTAGAAGGCAACATCCCTGTCAACGGAGGAATCAAAGAGCGACATAGCGAGGTTCAGACGGTCATCCTCACACAAGATGGCATGTTCAAACTCGTGAGAGGCGAACATGAACTTGCCAGGCTCGTCCATTCCACCGAAGCGGACTCTCTTATCCTCCAAGCTAGCCTTCAACTCAGTAACCTCCAGGCATCGGGATGCCAGAAGGCCGACCAAAATATCGTAGGTGTCGCTGTCAGGCGAAACTCTACGACGGATCATATCAGCGTAGACATCCAGAGCCTTGGATACAACTTCGATTCTCCTGGTTGGGATGTGGATAGCAGCCATGAGCAAGGCATTATATGCGCCTGCAATGGGCTGGACGCCCGTGGCCAGCATGGCCTCGAAGACAGTAGGAATCTCCGCATATCGACCTGCAGAGGAAAGTTTGAACAGATGGTCGGCATAAGACTGAGACTGGGGGTCAGCTGGAGGGGTGGCTGATCGTGCAAAAGATGCGGGTGTGTGAGCTCGAGAAGGCAAAGCCGACCCCACATTCTCAGCGGCATCTTTTTGACTTCGGGCCTCGATTTCTCTCTCCAGAGCCGCATCTATGTGTGCAAGTGCAGCCTCCTCTTCTGGCGTGAAGGATCGACTGGCTTCCAACTCAATGCCCGCATCCTCACGCTCCCGTGCCTCCTTGTCTCCCTCGAGGATGGCAGAAGCACTTGGCTTCCACTCGATCCGCTTGGGAAACTCATACTGAATCCATTCATTGTCAACTTCTTCGTTGTCGGCCTCCTGCTTCTGCTGCAGTGCCTCGAAGTACGCATCTAAACCACCATGGCCGCGGCTTTCGACTTGGAACGCTGAAGTGGCGTGCCTTTCGGAATGGAACGCCGAGTGAAGCTGGAGCGAGGAGAGGCGGCCAAGAGGGTTCTTATGGCGACGGTGGAATACCGGGCGATTTTGGGAATTGAGGATATGAGGTTGGGTCGCAGCTACGACGGACTGAGCGTAGCCGTGTGCGGTAACAGATTTGGCGAATGTAGATCCTTGGCGGATAAAATTCGTGTAAAGCGAGGAATAAATGGTGGGCATTTAGGTGATTACCGGAGGGTTAAAGGACTAGCCGACGTTAGCAAAACAACCCAATTCCAAAGACTAGCTCAAGCTGCACGAATGTCGAGGAGATGAAGGGCGAACGGGATTCCCAATGCTGCACCAAACGGCCTCGACTCTTCTCTCCAATGATATGGTGTGATGCAGCGAGCTTGCGGTCAGGAGCAATCTTACGTGAAATAGAAAATATAACGTCGATTGCAGGTTCATTTGACAGCGAGATGGCCGTCAAACGAACGCGCGGGTCCAGGGTATTAGATCGGAAGGTTAGGGAAGGAACAGAAAAAAATAAAGAAACACCAAGATGACCTCGATGTTGGAATATTTTGATTTCGTGTCGCCCAATTGAGGGTGTGAAATACTATTGAGATGGATGAATGGGGAAACAGCCCAGGCTTGGAGGGGCGGCCTCAGGTATTTCTTTGATTCCGACCGCTTGGGGAGCGCATGGCAAATGCCAGCATGGGGGGCTATCGCCTAACTCCTAGCGGACGGGCCACGGACCTACGAGCTTCGATGGCTGACGGCGCCCCTCATCAGCCCCATGCACACCCACCTACAGATGCACGGGGACCCTCAGGACCCGGCTGTACAGGCGCTACTACTCTGTATTTACCCACGGTAAAAGGTATGTGTTCCTCTGCTGTGTCTGAGACCACCAGTACATCGCGGTGTATATGACTCAAGTCCAGTGGCCAAGCTGGCCACCAAGCCACCTCACCTATCTATGATCCATCTATGGGGAGCAGTCCACTGGGCGGTCTCAGTCCAGTCGCTCAGGCGGTGGCCACTGGGGGTTCTGGGACCCCTCAAGGGGCAAACCACCTAGCAAAGATTTATACTTTGCTTGCTTTTTCGCGAGCCCACCCACCCACAAGTTCACACACATTTATCTGTATCTGGACGCGCAGGTGCAGCTGGAAACTGAGGGTTCGTCATAAATCTGCGACAGCCGTAACCCCAGTCGGCAGGAGCCAACATTGATCGCTCAACCGAGTCCAACCATCGAATAGGCTCCTCGGTGTCGTCAGCTCCTCCCAAGGTGCTCGCGTGTGTCGTGTTGCAACCCCCCTTCGCCTCGACTCCTAGGCTCCAGCTAGACTTGCGTGTGTGGGTGGACACATCCATTTCAGCGATGTTGGAGAAAAAAAGTAGGCTAGCCGGCAGCCTCTTGTGCGAATCCAGCGCCAAGAGGCACAGCTCGAGATCCAGATTCCAGGGGTTTGTGGGAGAAACCGGCCGCCCTAGCGCAGGCAGTTAGCTTAGCTATCCCAGGGATGTGGAGGATAGGGAGAAGCCGGAATCTTGGAGGGCCCCCAGCTCGGCCTGTCGGAAGCCTCCCGTTCGCCTTACAACCAGTGCGCTATGTACGTACTACCTGGTCAGTAATGCACCTCAGTTGAGGAAATGAAAAATTTTCGTGTGGAAGAGCACGGCTCGTTCTAGAAAGGCAGGGAATGGCAGGCTTGCGCAAGACATATCCCAGCCCCTTGCTGCGTATCTGTCCTGGAAATGCCAGCCTCAATTAATTGTTTTGTGGCCAGTCCCGGGTAATCAATAACCGACCCGTTCATGCGAGGCGAGCATCGACATGAGCGAATCGCTCTGCTGAGTTTGCAATGTGTCTGGATGCCAACCCCAGAGTACTCGACGTAACGTGCATCATTGTACATGGGGGGGCTATGGCAGGCGTTCTTGGTGCCAATCGTCATTCTCCACAGCCTACGACCCTGGAAGAATTGCTTGTGTCATCAACCAGCATCACATGGCCCGGGACGATAATATCTCGTCAAGTGTCGGATGCCCCGGATCCCCGGGTCTGGGAACCGTCCCTCTTAGCAGGGCGGCGCGCAGCGCCAATCGTGTCCACCAATTCATCCGAGGACGACCGGAGGTATGGCCTCGGGCTTTTCCCACTCACGCACAGCAGCTGACTAACTGCACAATGCCATAGGCCGAGTGTTGATCAATCAATATGAATGAACCCACCTCCGAATTACAGGGCTTAGCACACCAATCAACGGCAGACTAATCGAGTTTCGGGATTGTTCAATATCCCGAACGGACATTGGAAAATCAACCTCAGTCATCAACGGGGGCCTAATCATGGGATCGTGTTTATGCATCTAATTATCTCATCCGGGATCCACGAGTGTTATTGGACTGCTTAAATTAAATTGTAGATGGAGCTACCGCCTCGCTACGAGATGCAGAGATCGGCTCCGAGACAGGATTGTACAATGAGTCACCAGCCATTGGCCCTTGCTAAGATCGATCGGACTTCGCACAACCCCAAGATGAATTATCCGCCATGGAGAATTCAGCCTCGCATCTCCGAACATGAACGCCTGTCAGACTTGTTGACGTAACCTGCTTGAGGAATAAAGCCTCTCGTATAATTTTTTAGAGCAGCCGGGCGTTGCAGCAGCCTTTTTTGGCTTTCCGAAGGTTGCCTAGAGTGATAACCCTTCCTTGTTTCTCCGGTTCTCAATTCCCTGCTGAATGCGGCTTTCAAGTGTCACTTCAAGCCTGTATGAGGGCCCGGACTCTGGAGAGTGAGGGATCCTTTAGTTAATAGCCACTTGTCCTATCCGGCTCCAAGCCTCTTGGGCACTTGCACAACCTCACAGTGATGAGTAAGGGTATTTGAATAGCAGACAAGTTCGGAATCTAAACGTCTTGTATCAGCCTTTAAGATCTGTGAAAAACCAGGTTGCTCTTTTATAAGAGCTCAGAAAATGGATGTCAACATCGCAGCAAGGGGATACTCTCGTGCAGCATGATTGTATATACCTAACCCCTAAGTAGGCCTTGGCTTCTTTCGAGGCCGGCCGACCTTCCCCTTCACCTGCTCTCGGCTTCTCTTTTTCGGGCGTCCACGACCGCGCACTTGGGCCGGCTGCTCGCCCTGTCCATTTTTCAGCGGCCGGCCGGCAACAGTGTTTGCTGCTTGCGGCGCTGGAGTTGGGGAGCCTTCTTCCTCTTCTCCTCCAATGTTGAAACCATGATTCTCGATCTGTGGATTTTCAGCCGCCTTAAAAGACTCTGACAACGCTTTTACTGCATCCCTAATCTGATCTAGACGAGTGCCCTTACCCCATTCGATAATTTTAGTCAGATACGCGACCAGCTTATCGAGACCCTGGTCCTCATATAACAGGAACCCTTTGATCAGAAACATATTGAAATTTCCTTGCCCATCGGAGAAAGAACCGAAGAGCCTTGCCTCCGTCCCATTGGTAACGACACTGAATACTATCGGCTCAATAACTTCGGATTGAGTTTTCAGAGACCTATGATTCAACTGTGCCTTGAAATGGTCCAATATGTTTAGAAATGTAGCCGTTCCTCCAAGACATTGATTCGTGGCAGTCCACAGCCGCCCAGAGGAGTCGCTCCCGTCTCCCTCGTATTCAATCTCCAGAAAAGGGAATTTTATGATGCTGTTGCTGATTTCGCGAAGCACGTGTAAATTTTCTACTGGAAACGCCCTACAACAGTATCCAAGGTGCTGATCTGGTTTGGGTGTGATGACTATATCATCGGGTTCTGTAGTCGGGACGCGCGATCTCTCCAACCAATGCCCGGCACCTCTGTTGAGTTCAAGGTGATGTGCAGCTAGGTTGGAGAACAATTTGGAGCTCAGGTCGAACCTGACCTCATCCTTCCTTGTCCCTTCGATCGCCATGTCCCTCAGTCTAAGGTGCATGGCTTGATCAGGATTGCAGACCTGGAAAGGCTCTTCCGGGAGAATATGTTTCAGCATTTGGCTGATATGCTCAGGCACCCCTTCATGTGACGAAACGGTCCGGATACCGTTCATTGACAGCGTGTGGCGATAACGTGGTCGTTGGAGAAGAGCCTGGTAGATTTCTGATTCGTTGGTGGAATCCTGATCAACGTCCATGCAGCCATATAATAGGGAGACTGTCGGCTGAGACGAAGTCATGGCAGACAATCCTTCTCGCAAGTGAGTGCTAGTTTGCGAATCACCACGCTGCAGTGGATTCTCCGGCAGCTTTTCAAGCCAGTCTCGAACGAGCCCTCGCGGCCCGACCGACCTTGTCTTGTTGACTCTGGGCCTTCCTCTAGGTCGAGGCTTCAGGGCAGCGGTGGCCTTTCGCTCTTTCTGTTCCTGCTCGCACATCAGTCTTGATTCCTTAACGAGATAGAGTAAGCATACAGGCCTGGGTCCGGGTACGAGGACGACAAGGTTTGACTGGATCTTTGTTCGTGATGCTACAGATTCTTGTGAGAAGTTGGCCCATATGATTGCAGGGAGAGAAACTATTACCTGGGCTAGTTCTTTCTTCGTCATTTACCGGGCGAGCAACCGCCCGAGTCCTCGATCGTGTCCCAAACATTGGAGAGCTAGATGTATAGCTGATTCAGAGCATATACCTTCAAGAGTCGGAAAATAGGTGAGAAGGTAAAGGTTTGCTATGTAAGCTAACGGGTAGGATAAGCAATCCTCGTTAGTTCAAGCTGGCTATTCTGTCTTTTCGTTCTTTCTTTGGTCGGAGAGAGATCATACGCCCGCGTTATATGTTGTAGATGAAAGGCGCCATCTCCGTCCTAAGCGAGCCTTGGGGTCATCTCCACAAAGAGTAGAATAGCGAGTTGGTGTACTTTAAAGCGCCCTTCACTTGTCGATATACAAAGGAAGGTACAAAATTTAAACGGCTAATTCTCATGAGTAAGATTGGCAAAGGTAGTTCTTTGTTCTTTGGTGATTCGTCCGATTGTCTCATTCGTCGAACATTTTTTTGGCTAACCTCCAATCATTGAAGGGTAATTCCAAAACAAGGCAGTTAACATTAACGCAGACCCTAGTAGCTCCTAGTAACAGGTCCGTGTTTGTGTCTAAATCAACGGAGGGTCGGGTTGGCAAGATATCTTTGGTCTGACACGATGAAATTGGCCAACTACCTGCTTACTATAGACTTGATAGAAGACGCCAGCGTTTGATGAAGGTTTCGTGTGCATTGTACTCTACCTTCCTATGTACATCGAATATTAGAGTGGACAGTAGTTTCGTTGGTAACGCCCTATGAGATATTCCGCCAGCGAACATGTGAATTCTTTCATGGGCCAATTTCAGGGGCTTCGTCTGACTTATCCAGTATTCACAAATGGTGAGCCACCATGTTCGGGAGCATTTGTGTCTCTAACTCAACTAACACTAAAGGCGATCAACCACAAAAACGTTAGTCGCTATTAGACAGGAACAAGGAGGACACGAGCCTATAGTGTTCAGAAGCAAGCCAGCGAGCCATTGATCTCGGGTAGTTGGTAACACAACGACGCTGTTTCCTTTGTTATTTGGTACCTTTCCAGGCAAATAGATTTCACACTCAACATCTCACGCCAGAGTGCCCACGACAATGTGGTCCCTGTCTGCGGCCACACCGCCCCCTGGGAGCCTCTAGGAGTTCTCCCGACGTGCATAAATCGATACGATTTATCCCGCAACATCATACACCATTATTGTGACAAGTTTAGTGGAAACTGGTAATTTTACTACCAATGATCTTTCGAGCGACTGAAGAATTTGCAGACACTGTATTTTTCTGTCTCTAGGGTATTGTGCCAAGACACGCAAACCAAGTCTGATCACAATGGGCGGTGTCCATCCACCTACACCGCTGCATTAGAAGTAATGTGACGGGTGAAGTCCAAATGTATCCAACGAATGAGATCTTGGCCATTAGGCACATAGTTGCTAGGGTATGAACACTTCTGGGTGAGTACATGGCAAGCAGGTACTTATGTGTTTCTGAATCTAACAGAGCACGTCACAATGTTCTAACGAGATCGGGACTTAAGACATGTTTCCCGGCTACTTCCTGGTTCTAACTTTTCGGTTATCGGATTCAGATCGTGAGGATGGATCTCGACCTTTGGTAACTGCTCAGTTATGACCACGCCGCAATCACCTGATGGCATGAATTCTCCTTTCTTACCTTGCTACGACTAACATTGTCAACACGGAAATCTATCCTCAGTGGCTCAATGCGACGGTTCGTAAATTAACTTGTTCTTTCCATGCAGTGAGGCAGAATTCTATGGCTTATTCGTTGGGTATTCTCAATCAGATGAGTGTAACAGAATAGCCTGACTTACTGCGGCGGCGGCATATCCGGGTACAAGTTGGAAGAACAAATACACCAGATAATAAATTATCTTTCAGGATACACCTAGTGAATTTGAACCTTTTGAACGGTCAAGACATTGATCAATTTTTCGTTGCATGCTGGATGCTGCTTACTGGTGGCTCAGATCTAATCTAATCAATCTTATCGGACATGGTTGACCTTTTTTTTGCGCCCGATAAGAGTTGTCTACCCAAAATTTTCCGGGCGCCAACCATGGCCATCTCACATCGCATCAACTGCTGCCCCGCCTCAACGTGAGAGCGAACCAGATTCACAATGGCTGATGATGGCATGATCTTGAATTTTCAGCTTGGCTCAGCGCCGCTGAAGCCGCAAACAACCAAATTCACGGGTGGGCGCTGGAGGGACAGGAAGCGGGCGGAAAAATCAGCCAAACTTGCCGGTTCGCAGTCCAAAACCCCCAGGGACGAGGGAGACGCAGAGGCTTCAGAGAGGGCTCCCAAGAGATACAAGACCACTGATAATGGTGAGTCCTCGGGCTGGAAGCCAGGCAACCAGTCACAGGGGTACCAAGGCTCGAAAAAGCCTTCAACAAACGATAATGCTGGTGGTGGTCGTTCCGGTCATCGCGGCCAGTCCGATGGCAACAAAGGGTCTCGCCAGGTCATCTCTCGCCTTTTCAGTTTCAACCCAGAACAGAAAACTGTCGCGGAAAAGGAGGAAGCAGAATGGGAGGCACCCGAAGCAACCAACGCCCCCCTGAGTGACGTCGCAAACTTCGGTACTCTGGCATTGGCCTCTCGATTAGTAGATGAGCTCTCCAAGATGAACTTGGAACGGCCGACAGCAATTCAGAACAAGGTGATCCCGCATTTAATATCCAGCAGCGGCGATGCTTTTGTACAAGCAGAAACGGGTTCAGGAAAGACCTTTTCGTATCTGCTCCCCATTCTTCACCGGGTATTACAGCTCAGCGGGAAGGGAGATGGAAAGCAGATTCATCGGGACTCGGGACTATTTGCTATCATTGTTGCGCCCACCCGAGAGCTGGCAAGGCAGACGCACTCTGTTTTGGAACAGCTCATCCGCCCATTTCCGTGGCTGGTGTCGACTTCTATTACCGGTGGTGAATCCAAGAAAGCCGAAAAGGCAAGGATACGGAAGGGTGTTAACTTTTTGGTCGCAACTCCGGGAAGACTGGCTGATCACATCGACAACACAAAGGCATTGAACTTGGGCACGGTGAGATGGTTGATCCTGGACGAGGGTGATCGCTTGATGGATCTCGGTTTTGAGGAGGATCTCAAGAAAGCCATCAACGCCCTCAAGAGAATCATTGTCGCTGACAAGACGACCAACGGAACTCTCTTGGATTCGCTCCCGGACCGGAGAGTCACAGTACTATGCTCTGCGACTATGAAAATGAATGTTCAAAAGCTGGGAGAGATGAGTCTGGCAGACGCGACGTTCCTTGCTGCCGAGAAAGATGCCGACCAAACAGCACCGACCGATCAGGCCGTTCTCAAAGCACCAGCCCAACTGCATCAGTCATACATCATTGCCCCTGCCAAGCTGCGGTTGGTTACGCTCATATCCTACCTTAAGCTTGCCTTTTCTCGACGTGGACGTACTATGAAAGCCATCATCTTTCACTCTTGCGCCGACTCCGTCGATTTCCACTACGAGCTCTTAAGGGACCCAGCAAAAAAAGACCTACCTGACACTTCAGCCAAAGAGGCCGAAGTGTTGTCGAGGACCGTATCCAAAGCGGCGTATATCACGTCGCCGGCGAGTCCAGAGGTGATTCTGCACAGGATGCATGGTTCCCTTTCACAACCTGTTCGAACCGCTACCATAAAGTCATTTGCTGCATCGAAGCTGCCTTCGGTTCTCATTACTACTGATGTCTCGTCTCGTGGTCTTGATATCCCCTCAGTTGACCTGGTCATCGAGTATGATCCCGCTTTCAGTTTCTCTGACCACATCCACCGTGTTGGACGTACTGCTCGTGCTGGTCGATCCGGAGATGCCGCTTTGTTCCTCCTGCCTGGCACAGAGGAAGGTTATATCGAGCTTCTCAAGGCATCTACTCCACCTACAGCACAATCATGCGAGTCTGTTCTTGAAAAGGGTCTGTTGTCTAAGCTCGAGTTTCCGATAGAAACAACAGCGAAACCTGAAGACGGGAAGACATACCATGAAAAGGCCGAGACTCTCCAGCTTCACATTGAGCAGAGGCTTCTCGGAGATTCCAAACAGCTGGAACTGGCACGCAACGGATTCAAGTCTCATATTCGAGCATACGCCACTCACATCAAGGAGGAGAGAGTTCACTTCGATATTAGCGAGTTGCACTTGGGGCACGTCGCGAAGAGTTTCGGATTGAGAGATCCTCCTGGTGGCATTGGAGCTGGCATCGAGAGGAAGGCGAAGAAGAAGGGCGCCAAGGGTGCCAAGGGCAAATATACGGCTGACGCGGAAGAAGACCCATCAAGACCAGGACGTGACATCTTCACGGAGAAGAGCAAGTATCTGATGAAGGCGATGGCCGATGAGTTCAACATTGGTTAATGTTGTGATGGAATAGGTGGACATGCAATTTGGTATTGGGAAGTGCCTTTTTTATTTTGAGTTTCTCACGGTACCACAGCGAGTCGTTTGAATAAAAGCATATAGTATTTGGCATTTGAGCCTATTAGAAGATTCATTATTTCTTTACACGAATCGAAATGGCATCTTGTGATGCAAATGTAGGCATCCAAGCCTGATTATCCACCCAAAATTTATTTGTTCTTCCAGTTTCCAGCATTCTCTACCCCCTTGCTGACGTCTCCGAGGCCGTTTTGCACGCCAGTTCCGAGTTCACCGACAGCGTTGCCAACGGGCTTGCCGTAGCCGCCAGTGACAGCCGTTACCGTGTCCCCAACGCCCCGGGTGGCAGCGCCGGTGACATTGCCGACGGTTCTCCCAACGGCTCCCACGGTGTTTCCCAGGGTTGATGTGACGAAGTTTGTGGCGTCGCCGAGCTGGCCTCCGGCTGTGTTCTTGCCGTTGTTGGACGATAAGTTGGTCATGTTGGATGTGAGTGTGGTGGAATTTGTAAGAAAGTCAAGTCTTGGTCCTTGGGCAAGGAAGTGAGGTTTTGATTGTAATGAATTGATTTGTTAAGATGCAGAGAGATTTCAATCGCGGGCTGTAGGTTGAGAAAATATATACCTTTGAACAAATACATATCATCATCCCATCCAGAGCCCT